AGAAAACAGATCTAACTCTCAAAAGAGAAAGACTGAGAGTACCACGTTACTACTAAACCCATTAAATTGTGCCTTGAGAACAATCTTAATAGTATTGAAGAGACTTTTTCCCTCCCTTTATTAACTTCATATGATGTTTCACAATCTTGAAAATAAGTGTTTGGTGGGCTAGCTCCTGCCACCTACTTCCAGCCGTGGCTGTGAGGGGAAATCAGAGGAATGCACAGGGTCAGGCCCTGTGGTCAGGATGAGCCAGGATTGACTCGTGTACCCACAGGGCACTTGGAGTGATCAGCAGCCTGATGTCATGGCCCCAAGGATCTGCTGCCTCAATTCCAACCTCAGCTAATATTGATGTCCCAGGGCCTCCAGCAGGTGCTGGAGAGCTGGCTGCAAGATTTTCCCAGTAGAGTCTGTATTTGTCAGATGGGTAGTGTCATTGCCATCTCGTGCTGTCTGTTCATGTTGAATTAGGTTCTAGCAGCATCCAACCCTGGGGTGTGACAATAATAATATCTGCCTCACCAAGCTGTGTGACGGTGACGTTGGTGAGTGCTCCTGTTTCTCTGCTCTCCCGTATTGGAAAATTCTTCCAAAGTGTCATTGTCTAGACCTGTGCTGGCCAGTACTATAGTCACTGGCCACATTTGGCTGTTGAGCATTGAAAAGTGGCAAATCAGAAATGAATGTACTCTACGTATAAAACACTCACCAGACTTAGTATGTGTTTAAGTCTAACCACTGCCCCCCCACCTCCTCCAAGACCCGTATCTCTGAGTGGACCATGTCAGAGGCCTTATCAGTCATCTTCCTCCTCCTACCTTGTTCCTCTACAACACCCAGCTTGATCTTTTTAAAGTGTTAAGTCACTTTTCTTCTAGGAAGCTTCCATGGCCATATCTTCTTCCTCACAATAAAATATGCCATCCTTACAAAAGCCCTACAAGATCTGCCCCTGCCACCTCCAGGGCACATGCCCGTGCCTCTTACCTGCTATCCCACCCCCTTTCCGGGTTTGCTTTCCAGTCCTCTACCCTTCCAGGGGTGCCCTGTCCTCAGGGACTTGGTGTTCACTCTTCTCCCTGCCCGTAATGCTCTTCCTCATATGCTCATGTGGCTTCTCCTTCACTCAGTTCTCAGTGTCCAGCTCGCCTTGGTACCTACCACAGCCTTCCCTGACCACCATCTCTAAAACAGCACCCCACGTTTGTCTCTCCTCATAGCATCATCACCACCTGACACGTTACATGTTTGTCTCCTGTCTGCCACATTGAGGTGGGGGCTCTGTGAGTGCAAGTTCCTTTTCCGCAAGGGCCTCAAGCAGTACTTGGCACAGAGTTTAGTGTGGCCGATTGGATTATTCTGCCAGATTCTTCCCACTTATCAATTCCACGTGCCTTTAGGGTAGAAGTTTATTAACCCTGCTGGGTATCAGAATCACTGGGGAGCTTGCCTAAAATGTACATGCCCCAACCCCATTCTCCAGAGATCCAAATGCAGTAGATTCTGGGGTAGAATGTAGAGCATTTTTTAACAAGCTCCCCAAGTGATTTTGATGGCTAGGGTCACTGGACCACACTTTGCAAAACACTGACTCAATGCACCAGTTGATGTTTGTTTATCTGTTTCTCTGCCTTGCTGAGTGTTGTGTTCTGTATATCAGCAGTTTTTGAATCACCTGGGAACCTAAATATAGATCTCCTAGCCCCACCCAGATCTTGTAAATCAGAACTTCCAGGAATGGCCCCTGCAAATCTATTAAATATATTTTCAAAAACCTCCCTCTGTACGTCCAGTGCAGCCAGTCTTCCCACTGGCCATTGGGAGCCCAGCTGCATTTTACAGACTCCGTGAGGTTGTTGTAAACTCAAGAGCAGGTGTTTACTGTGTAGTTTTGGCCAACTTCTGTCCCGATCCCCCTTTAATCCACACGTTCTGTTCAAAACTGGTATTCAGTAAGTCACTGTGGGGTGAACAACTTGGTTTAGTCACAATTTCCACGTGCTTTTGGGACTTGAACGTCAGCCAGTATTTCTAACTACGTTTCAGATCAACCCATTCTCTGATTAGAGGCAGGAAGCATATCTTAGTTGTCCAGCTCATTCTCATGAGAACTCTCTTTGTAGTCTTCTGTCCAGACATTTAAAATGTGTTTCTCAGGTTAGACCAGAAAGCATTAGGGTAATATCACCCATCATCACGCTCAAACACTCATCTGCTCTACTTTCCCCTTGAATCTCTACTGGGGCACACATGCTTTGACTGTCTTCAATCTTGGGGTGCAATCTCAGGTCTCCAGAGCATCCCTAGAGATGGAAGAAAGGCTGACCCCTCGCTGTGCAGCCTGTGTGGGCTGATCAGGTTGCCAAAGGGGAGGGTATTTCTCTAGAAGCCAGTGCCTTGCCCTACTTTGGTTTGGTTTTGCCCTAGAAGTATATAAGTATGATGATGCTTTGTACACGTAAAAAGTTTTAAATCTAAAATCCTCAAAATACAACCAAAATGAAAACAAAATGGGAGCAGTGGCTGAGAATCAAGTATAACAAGGAATGGTATTTGCAGAATTTTATTCCTTGGCCCAGGCTAAGTGCTAGCTTCCAGGTTGTGAAGAATCATTTATGAAGTCCCCAAGAGATCCTCTTGGTTAATCTATTTCTTAAATACCTGAGTCGCCAGGGGGGGCTCACCCTGGACTTTGGATGGCCAACTCTCTGGTAGCCTTTTTGAATATGTTAGGTTTGTCTATATTCTTTGCAGAAAACTTACGGGATTATTATTATTCATGGCAGAATTTAAAAAGTTAGTGGTGCCATCCATGCAAGCCCAGGAGGTGCTTGCAACCTTCTCGGCACACATTATGCATGTTGGAGTTTTGCCTCTGGATAAGCCTTGGATTGCATTTTGATGCCAGATGTGAGCAGCCATTAGTAATCAGGACGACTCCCTTTGGGAAGTGCTGTTCCCAGGTGATAGCTGCTTCCTCAGGAATACTTGTCTGCGGGGGACACCAGAGGCTGGGATTTAGGGACAAAGGGAGTGAATTGACCCTAGAGATGTAAGGATAAGAGATTTCTAATGAGACCTGACAGCTCAAGGGCTGAAGAAGGAGTCTAATCTTTTTTTCCTGCCCACCCAGTCTTCATACAAATGTAAATATGCCTCCTTCAACAAATTGCCAAATGTGGTTTTAATTTGTAAGCAGGAGACCCCGCCTTGCCTTTCTCTTTCTTCTTTTTTCCTTTCTTTTTTTTGAAAACTAAGTCACAGATTTTATACTTTTTGAACAGAACATTTCCTCCTGTCAGTCTGTCACCTTTTCTGTTGTCCCTTTTCCTCCAAGGACATTTTCTCCCATTGTTGTCAGAGGAATTTAGGATGAGAGCCGACTGCTCTGTTCCTTAAAAGAAGTTTTTGAAGTTCCCATAGAAAATACATAGTGTTCTTTAAGCTGAATTTTAAAAATAAATAAATAAAGGGCAGTGATTTAATCCTGTATGAGATTGGAAGAGAGTGTCACTGTCGCGGTGTGGTACTTTATGTGGTGTACACGGTATTCGTCGTTGTTATTTATGATCCTGTCTGCCTTCCATTGTGGACTTCTTCCAGCCTTGGGGAATTTACATCATTCCTAATAGCAAAAGGCTTTCTGGTTCCCACAGAGTTGTTCAAAGCCTGACTCATGCTCCTTATGTTAATTGTTCAGCTCTGAAAATACAGCACTTACAGGGTGTGGTTTTCAGGGGAAAATCTACTGTACTTAAAGGGCATGTTTAGAAGTGTTCCCCACATAAATCTCGATTGCTCCCTATCTCTCTCTCTCTCTCTCAATCTCTCTCTCATTTAACTTAAATTGTAGCTTTTTTTGGTCAATTAGTAAGTCTCAGAAAACAAAACCAAAAGGCCAGAAGCATCAAAATGCAGTATAATCCAATGAAACCTATAATATTCTGTTCACTAACTTAAAACTGATGTGAATTATAACCATGTATGACTTTGAGTGACACTGTCCTGGGTCTGAAACCGTAGGCGCAGTTGGAGAGCGCTAAAGTCTCCTACACAGTGGTGCGGGGCAGTGATTGGGCAAAGCTCACTCAGCCTGTGGGATACCCAGGCATAGTACTGATGGGTGCTGTCTACCTGTGCTCTGGGTTGTCACTGTGAATTCCAACGTAAGTCTAAAGCAAGGACCTAGAGATCACACCAAAACTGTTCCTTGTGGTAACAACATCTTACTGGAATTTGATGGGGAAGAATATTTCGTGTGCAAGAGAAGTTAACTCCTTGACTGGATTAATGTACTTGATAACCAAAAGGAAAAGATTCCAAAAGCATGAAATGGGTCATTGTTGGCAAGGTTGGTAGGCTTTTTACATTTTACAGTTAACTCCATGCAATGCTTCCATGGGAACATAAAAGGATAGATAATCTATAAATTTTATAAATCTATGGTAATGGATAATATAAGAAAAAAAAACTTTCAGTTTTTTTTAGTAGCGAAGAATCACAAGCTCCAGTTTTCACAATACTAATATTAAAAGATTTAACTGTTGGTATGGTCTTGAGTATTGCAGATATTTTCTATTTTTGGAAACAGAGAAAATGTACGAAAATCTTAGGATAATCAGGGTACGGACCACGGTGCCACTAGGTCTTTTTGGAAGAAAAAAGTGATCCTGGGCTTTTGTCACAGTTTGGGCCACAGAGGTATCAGATATTGGCCTAGAGTTCCCAGATGCTTTGGAATCAACATTTTTTACATCACAGTCTTGTTTGTTTATGATGCATATTAATGTATGAAATGTGCGGACTGGGAGTCCAACAGAACTTACAATCTACCATAAAGTCCTCGGTAAAAAAGTTAAAATAGCTTAACACGCTAAGTAGTTTCATTCGGTCTTTACAAAAATAAATCTGTTCATCAGGACATCCAGAGTGTAACTGTTTTTTCTCATGTTCGGCTAATAGATTTCTGGTTGAACCTTTGTTATCTTTTGGAGTAGACAGAAAGAGCTCTCCATGGAGTGTCTGATTACGTTGCTGAGTGTGCAGAGAGTCCACTTCCTCCCAGTGCAAAGCTCCGGAGAAATGCTTTGAAAGAAATGTAGGTCCAACGTGTTTCCTTTTTCTCATTTTTGACTGCCTCTATGTATGGATAGATAATATGAAGTCTAGAATTAAACAAGAGTGCATGGAACCTAATCACAAAATCCTCTCTGGCACTGAACCCTACCCTAGGTCACAAACTTGCTCTTCCCACCCTCCTGTCTCTCTTTCTCTTGCTTTCTGGACAATGAGGATAGAGTCCTTGCTTCACAGGTGTGTTGCAAGGAGTAATTTAATGACAAGTTCTTTGAAGATGAAAAGCACCTGTTGGTGGTGTGTTTCACACAACTTTCCAAGTGACTACAGACAGATCTAAAAAATACATTCCTTTCCTAAGATGCTTGTTCTGACTTTGATATAATTATGATAATCCTCACGCTACTGATAGCAATAGTAAGAAGATGAATATATATATATATATATATCTATTTCCACACTAAAGCTTAGCCAAAATACATATTTCAGCTTCAGTGTTTTGAGTTCGGTGGTTGAAGAAATTTCTTGCCATTCACAAACCTGCAAAGGTTAAGGTCATTAGTCTCTAAATTCTCCCTGCGTAGTTTCTATCCTGCTGCCTCAAAGTTAATTTAACAATCAGAGTGAAGTTTACATTGTCTGTTGTAGGTGCTGTAGAAAAGGGATTGATAGATATATGGATATATCGACACTCTCTTGTCTGCCATGATTGTTTTCTTTCCTTTCGTGGTGGCTGTCTGAACTCTCTTCCAGGACATTTCAAGTTATATTGAATGAGTCCTGCTCCCACATGGTTGATGAACAAAGCTGACACCAGCTAAATGGTAGTTATATTTGAGTAATACCTTGCAATGGCCTGAGAGAAATTTCAGAAGATTATTCTTTACTCACAAATAGAAATTGTGTGTGTATGTGCACATTTGTAGACACTCATACAAACAGCCTAAGTGTCAGATGTATTTGAGCATCTACTCCTGGGAAAAAAACCAGTATTTCAAACATCGGCAGTTATTGACCCATAACATCCAAAGTGAGCACCTATTTCCTTAGTTAAAATGCGAACTCCGTCATAACTCTATTGATAATCCAGTGATCAATAAGCAGAATGTATCCTAGTATAATGGAAAATGTGAAGGTTATTGCTTGATCCAGTCTGCACTTAAACATACACTTGGGGATTTTTCTAGATTTGCTAGGGAGGTAAGGAGAAGGCAGGTAGCACACGCTTCTCTTTTTGGATGTCGGAAATGTGGCAGGAGGAATTTGGAGGAAATAATGCCATCACTGCTCTATAAAGCGTAAAATCTTTTTTTGTTGTTGTTTTAGTGTGAAAAGAACTGAAACAAAAAGCAGCAGCGTGAGCGAATCACAGACCAGCACGGACATTGTGGGAACGTCTAGTGACTCCGTGATTACAGAGATAGCAAGGAAGAGGAATGATGGTCAGGCTTCCTCCAGGCCCCTGTCAGAATCCACGGGACAAGCAAAGGATTACATAAAGGCAGCTGAGAGCCACTGGGGGCTTCCTGTTCAAAAGCTGGAAAATGTTAATCAGACCCAACCAGAAGACACCAGCAGCCAGCAAAAACCTCATCCTGGGGAGCGGTTAAAGACAGGGCTTCTAAGCGGGAGCGCTGTCTGTAGCTGTGAGTCAGCATCACCAGGTCCAAAACAAAGTCCACGAGCGGCCAGAACACAACAGAAACGCAGGAACTGCGGCACTGCGGAAGACTTCGACCACCACAAGAGAGTTTCTCTTGGAAGCGATCGATTAGTCCCAAGAGAAGTAATAGTGGAAAAAAGCAAAACTGTCAGGGTTTTGCCAACTTTAGAGTTGTCAGATCCGGGGTTACTTTTGAAACAAGATTTGGCAAAAACTACGTCTAAGGAAGAGTTGCATGTTTTGGAAAATCTCTCCTCCAGACATCTTATGAAAAATAACCCAGGGCGGCACAGAAAACCGGCTCAGCCACAAACACTGAAAGATTATCTATGATGCAGAGCAGCCCAGCCAAGAAAAGAAAAAAATGCGAAAGAGGCCACAAATACTAAAGAGGATTGCAAAGCCATAGTTAAGGACATGGTGGCCAAACCTGTGATAAGAGGGCCTCGTGTATAGATGCTAGGATTTTAAAGGAATTGATTGGAATGATTATTTTAAATAGAAAGTATGTATCTGCCCCAGGGTTTGTTTTCAAAGCAGTCACCTCTAGGAGATTATATGCTTATTCTAACAACATTGCTACTTTCTCATCATACTTTATAACTGTCTTCAGAAAATGATTTTAATGATAGCCATCCACCACGTCAGGGACGAGACTGTGCAAGGACTGCATGAAGAAACGATCACGTGTTCCCCTTGGCACATCACGGTGCAGACCACACAGTGATGGCGCCACGGTGCTGCAGTTAAGTTCCAGGGATGCAATCTGTCCTCCTGCTCCTCAGCCTGAGTAGGAGCAGAGGGCAGTGAAGAAACAGGCTAGCGGTTCTCAACATGTGCTCCTGGGACCAGCATCGTTGTCTGGAAATGTGTTAGAAATTCAGGTGATGGGCTCCACCCCGTTCTGCTGAATGACAGATTGTGGGTGATTCTGAAACATGCTTAAGTTTGAGAACCGCTGGACTAAGTGAAGAGACTACAGTGTTTATTTCCTCCAGGCTAGCAGCTGGCTACCGTGACCTGCAGCTCCTCAACTGGGGCCCCGTGTGACGCTGTGTACCCTCGTACTCCCCCCAACTTGTTAAACACCTGGGTTTGGTGTATGAGTCACTCTGTTCCCAAGTTCTACACTATGGTGGCCACAGGACCCAAGAAGGTGTTACTTACCCTTAAAATTGTCAGAAGTTTACAGATAATTTGGCCTATCAGTAGGGGAAGACAGGGGAGGCTTGCTCTTGCCTGTAGCTCTGGTGTGTCCCAGTCCCTGCCCTTGCCCTCACGATTTTGGTTAGGTTCGGGACAGATCAGAACCCAGAGGTAACTTGGTGGCCAGAGTTTCCATTTTCCCATTTGGAAGGCTTCACAGGCAGTTTACATTTCAAAACAGGAGCCTTCCCTTTACAGCGCCACGTACTGTCTCCAGTGGGCTTGCTGAGATGTCACGTAGCAATGACTTATTTTGGATGTACATCTACTAAAAATTTTCTTAGCCCATTTCATCCTAAAATAGGGAAAAAAAACATATTCAAAGGCTACCCATCCAATACATCTTTTTTTCTGCTCAACATGGGGTGGCCTTTGAAATAGCACCTCCACTAAGGTAAGGAAAATCAAGTATATTCCCAAAAGTGTTGAAGTTAGCAGAGACAGGGTCTCCCTCTGTCACCCAGGCTGGAGTGCAGTGGCACAATCGTAGCTCACTGCAACCTCGAACTCCTAAGCTCTATAGGAGCTTAGGACTATAGGAGCACCGCCACACCCAGCTAATTTTTTTATTTTTCGTGGAGACGGGGTGACACTCTGTTGCCCCCACTAGTCTCAAACTCCTGGCGTCAACTGATCCCCCCAGCTTGGCCTTCCAAAGTGATGGAATTACAGGTATGAGCCTCTGTGCCCCGGGCCCTCT